TTGTCTCCTTCCTCCCGCCTTCCTCACGCTCACTCCTGTACTAGAGTCCCTGCCAAATGCAACGTGAAGCTCCACGAGTCTGCAGATCTCCATCAGCTGATGTTGGAGTTCTGGTCTGTCAACTTCTATCCATCCCTCGACAAACTCCAACGTTCGGTCAAGCAACGAAGGCTCGGCGAAACCTACGGACAACGATCGTCGGAGCACCCGAAAGTGCACTGGAAAATCGACGAACCCCATCGGGATGGCAAGGATGAACTCGAGGCGACTGAAGAGATCGTCCTCCTCTTGCTCCTGCTCACAAGCCTTGGATACCTGGGAAGGTTGTCAAGGCATGCCCTCAGGACGCAACAGAGCCTTTCACCTCGTTGGAAAACTGCTGGAGCTCGACCATATCCTTCAAGAAAGTCCTGAGCTCCTCCGACTTGAGGCAAATCCGGATGCTCTTGGTAAGGAGCTTCAAGAGCCCGCAGAGGGTTGTATCCTTCATGGCCAGGAGAAGGAGGGACCTTGTGAACGACTTGATATTGAGCTTCGACCGGATTGACGACTCATCCTTCTCTAACCTGTCAAGCACTCCAGAGCAAAGATCTGTCAGGTTGATGTAACGATCAAAGTCCTTCTTATTTCTGCGAGATGTGGCGTGTGCTTGAGAAAAAGCAAGCTGGTCATTCAAGCCATCTGCTGCACCGATCGACAAGTCCAAGGAGTTCAGCAGGGTGATGGTGTGGCTTAGAAGCTGATTGTAGATCTCAAACTGCACACGATCCACCCTCTCTGTCTCTCCGCCCTCGGCTTCTGTTCCCCCGCTTCTCAAGTTTCTTTCAATCCAGTCTACCTGCTTTGAATTCAAGACGGACGTCCAAAGGTGGACGAGAGAGAAGCAAGGCTGGTCCTTCAAATCGTCAACCGCTCTCTTCCCTGGAGGAGCGTGGTTTTCATCTCGCCTTGGCTCAATGCTGATAGGCAGAGCTACAGGCACCAGAGACGCGCTGGACAAGTTGCTAGCAGAAGAGAACATGATCGAGCAGTAGAGCAAGAACCAAGCTCTCTCATGCAAAAATTGTTTTTTCTGCATGATGGAAGGGTATGAACTGAAAAGATATCGAACAATATCAGATATGAACCATGAGCAATCTTGCTTCTGAACAGCTTGCTGTGAGAAACTTCAGATCCCTCGGTGACTCTCAGTGACAAATCAAGTTCTCACCGGCAGGTTCATGAAGATGTTTGCGATGGACATAACAAATTCAGGCAAGATCTCATTGACCTTATCATCCTCATCGTTGTCATCTTCCTTGCTCAGAAACAAGTTCCAATACAGCAGGCTGCTCGGCAGGAAGTCATCTAAAATGCTCATGTTGTACTTCGCTGCATGCCATGCCAGCGATCCCCTTCCTCTGAACGACAAGGAGATGCATTTAAGGTCTTGCTCTTCCATGAGCTCAGTGTACGTCGTGTTCAGCATCGACACCTCTTCTGCCGTCTTGATGTACTTCTTGACTTCGCTGGTCCAGGTGTCGAAAGCTGTCAGGGCTGCAGATCGCACGTCCCTGTTGTTGTGCTTGCACCACTTCAAGAGGACCTCACAGATCTTTGGTGCGTTTGCAATCTCTGTCATGTACCTTGCAAGATTCATTGCGTGTTCCCCCAGCAGCTTCAAGGATGCCTTGACAACATCGTAACGCTCAATCTTGGCCGGTCCCTCCAGTGCGCTCCACATCTTGGCTGCGCAATCTCTCATCAGCGGCGCGCTGCTTCCCTCGATGTCCTTGAAGCGGAAGTGCGTCAACAGCCCTCTCATCCCCATGAGACATCCTGCATTAGCTCGCAGAGTTTTCGCCGTCCTCATGTAAGAGGAGAGCGCGTTCCTGTAGTACTCGTACGCTGTCTTGTTCCCTGACATTTTGCACGTGTCGAGGGCTTGCGGGTGTAGGAAGCAGAGGCAGTTGCAAGCTTCAATCACTTCTGAAAGCAACGTTGCATGTTTCGATAGCTGACTGTCGAACAGATTCTCAACAACAAACTTGCAAACATTTGTAATGGTGCTGTTGTACTCGTCGGAGACTTTCTGTCTTGACGGAATCTTTGCGCCCAAGCACATTGCAAGCAGTCGATAGGCATCTGTTTGCTGCAGCATCAGTCAGACTCTTCACCTTAACAGTATGACACGGTGATAACAAGATGGAAGAAAACCCTCACGGAGAACAGAGTTGTGATACTTACCATCTGTGAGTTTCCAAATCTGCAAAATCTGAGGCAGAATTCACAAATATCGTTGAACTGCTTCAAATCTAGGTGAAGGTTTTGTTCGCAAAAGTTGTGCAAATGTTTCATCAGAGCTTCCATGGCATTGTGGCAAACCACTGTCTCATCCTTGATCTGTGGGAGAGTTTGCAGAAGGTTCAAATCCCCACTAAACAGGCTATAGTTCAACGACTCTGGACAATCATATCACTACCATGCACGGGACAGCTACAACTCACTTATGGCATTGACGTCCTTCTTCTCATAGACCCTCGTTATGTACGCGTCGAGGTTCGTTACAGCCTGTGAGGCCCCGACAGCGTTGCTGTCCTCAGTTGCGAGCTCTGCTATCAGTTGCAAGAAGCTCGATACCTCGTCTTCAAGCAATGTGTCAGCCTCATTCTCCATCACACACTGCCATCTCTTGTGATTACCTGAATCTGACATGTCCACGTCTTCTCTGGCTACCGCAAGGGGGAGCTGCTGTTTTCTTCAGTTCCCTGTCTTGTCTTGATTTTCCCCTTCCGTTCCCGTCACACCGTTCTGACCTCCTCCTCCTCTCGTCCTTCTCCCCTCCCTTCCTTGTTTCACTCCCTCTTGCAGCTGATGTGTGGATATCGTCGTCTTGCTCCAGCCCTCCTCCGCTCACTTTCCCGCCATCATGCTTTTTATTGTGTGTTGCTGAGAGAGCTGCTACAAACAATTGCCTTACCATAAATTGAGCAATAAACCTGCGACAAAGAGTGCAGGGTCTGGTAGCAGCTGCTGTAGTTTATTGCACATTTATTTCAAATCGCACCTCACTGTTCGCACCCTTTGCTCGGCGAGTGTCCCCGCTACGCGGCCCGGCCCGGCCGGCAGCCGGACTCTGCTCTGATTGTCCTCGCCGTACTGATTTTTACCGCGGGCCGCCCGGCGGAAGTTCCGAGCCGTCGCATTGCCGGGTGGCATGTTCAATCTTTTACTCAAAGTTAAGTTAAAAATCAGCACGAGGACAATCATCAGTCGAGTTGTCATGACAGTCATGACGACAGACCCGGACACCCGGGAAGTTTTTACTCAAAGTTAAGTGATAGGACCTATGAGAACGTGCGGGATGACTCAGCCTTCTTTACGCAGCCCCTCACACTCCCCTTGATCAACTTCCGCCTTTATAACAACAGGTAATACACACCACCCCACCCCTCCCCATTCCGACTCAGGCTACCCACCCAACAATGACTTCAATTCAGTTTGTAGACTTCAGTTCTACTCACCCACCACCCATTTTCATAGGTAAGTACCCGTAGGATTCGTAGTGATCGCGCCATAAAATCAACAACCAGACACTACGACCCACCCTCCAATTTCCAGGAACATATTCCCAACCCCACCACACTCCCTCACTCATCGACGCACAAAATGTCCAGATGCCCCAACCCCACCCCAACCCCTCCCGCCAGAAGAGACGACCCCGCGCCTTCACCCCACCCCTGAAATCCATTTTGGGTTTACAACCCCTCCCGCTTCACAGCATCTTCTTTTCACCACCCTAACCCACCTCCCGTAAACCATAATACCCCCCCTTTCCCTGTACATGACCTCCATCACCCCACCCACGTAACCAACTATCTACCTACCCCTATCGCTCACTTCTTGTGTACCCCCTACCCTACTCTACTTTCCTCTAACCTGCTTCGCAGTTGCCCGAGGAATTGCCGAGGTTCTTCGCTGATACGAAAAGAAGTCTTTTCCACTCCAATGAAAAATGACCCCTCCTTTCATCACATATTATACCGGTGGTCTCTTTAGATGTGCAAAATACCCCCACCCTGAGAATACCCGGAAGTTTACTAGAGGTCTTATGGATGTCCTTCTGTATGACCCTCTGAAAACTACGACCAGACCCTTGTACCCCCTCAGTCGATTCACAATATGTGGTCAAAGTACCCCTCCTTTTCTCCTCCTTGTACCTTCACCCCGAGATCTCTACAACCCCACCCCGTTGCGTCTTTATCGAATCCTCTGCGGTCAAGGACCCCACAGTCGGGAGCCGATTAACAAAGAGAGACGGGGGGGTGTTGCGAAGTACCCGGTCCTTTCATGAAGAAATGTGGGGAAAGAGGGGTACCTGTGAACCTTGAAGGAGAAGGAGGCCGAGATGAGAGGGGGTAGGGGTGGTGCCCTAGGGGTTCGGCGACCTCCGCTTGCTTCTCCATCCTTCCAGCGGCTCCAACTCGCTTCTCTCACACTGTCCCGTTACCCCCCTTCCCTGTCTCTCCCATCTCCTCTCTTGTTTGCTTCCACTCCACCAATCTGTAACCCTGCGTCCTGATCCGTTTGTGCTCTTCTCCTATCCCTTCGTTTTTCCGAATCTGTTCGCTACCTGTTGCATCGAATCTTGCTCTCGCCTGTCTCCTGCATCTACGTCTCATCCTGAACCCTCGTCATTCTTTTGGAACCCACCTTTTCTACCCTCCGAACTTGCCTCTACTCGCATTGTTCGCTATCTGTGGCCACCTGGTTCGCAAGAAGCTGTACTGAATATTACTTTGTGCTACGCACGGTCTTGCCAACCACAAGTTCCCCGCCACAGCATCTACAATTGACTGCGAACTTTCCCTCCAAGAACTTGCTCATACAGGACCTGCTGTAGTCTTGTTGTTATTGGCGGCTACTTTATTCTTCTATCCTATCTTGGTGAAACATAGCGGAACCGAATTGGGAATGCAGTGACGTCGCTGGAGCACATAGGTTTGGTGCCGCTTCGCAAGATGAATCAGTGCAAGCACAGGTTTGAAGATTTGGAGTCGGATATGCCCGTAAAGGATTGTTGTCGACCAACCATGCATTGCAACGCTTGCTCCCAGCAGTTCGATGACTACATCAAGAACTCCATGAGCTGCACGTTCATTCGGCAGAACAACAGAGACATCCGTAGGAACCCCACCAAGTTTTGCCCCAAGCCGTTGCCAGAATACGAGATGCTTCAGCTGACATCGAGCTTGTTGGACATGTTGCAGAACGATAGGATCTTTTCTACCGGCAAAGGAGGCGACGAGGGTCGTACTGCAAGGGCGCACGGACAGAACTCTGGGTCAGTTTTGGCGAGCATCCGAGCCATGGGATTCGACCTGATCGTCCAGGTGATTCTCGAAAGTGATGCTATCATTGTTCTAACTCGTGACTATCGCAGCTTTTTCAAATTTATCAGGCCGACATCAAAGGGGACACGCTGGCGCTGAGCCTGAGCTACTTCCAAAGGTGCCTTGTCAGTGACACCCTGCCAGCCAACTATCAGAAGTGTGTGGAGTTTCCAGCGGCTTGCTTCTTTATTGCAACCAAGGTTGAGGAAGTGTGTACGCCCGACATCAGCAGACTAGCTATCTTGACCAACACGACGGCAGCGAACCTGTTGAGAATGGAGAAGATTGTCTTGGAAACCCTTTCGTTTGAACTCTACCCTGTGACCGCCTCGAGAATGATTGGTTCGCTCTTCTCCCTGGCGCCAGACACAATGGATGATGTGAGAATGTTTGCAAATCGGTTCATTCAGTTGAACCCTGCTATCTTCCTCTCGAACGCTTCTCCTGCGGTTATCACGTCGGCGCTGCTGTGGCTCATTCATAGGGAATTCGACCTGAGCTGTGAAGACTGGAGTTGGGTTCCGCCTGACTTGCTTGTCTGGATATCGAAGCAGAACGAGCTTGACACGTGCTCGATGCCGGAGGATGCTGTGCCGTGTGCAGGCAACCAGACCGTGCTCTGTGAAGTGATTCAAGTCGCGGTGGCTCTGCACAAGATGGTTTCCAGGCGCTCCTGAATATTTTTTTACATAGTTCCTCACTAGTCTCTCAAAGCTCTACCCAAGGACTATGATCATCTAGATTATTGTTTCATCTTCTGGTATTCATTTCAGTTTTTCCACTTCGTGCGGCCGACTCAGATTCGAATGAAACACGGTTCTGATTGCCATTGTGGAGTTCCGATTGCCATTGTAGTCGAGGTCCCTTCACTGAACCGCGAGTTCCGACTGCCGCACTGCTGCCAGGCTGAGGGCCCGGCCCCCGTCACGATCCATGCCATGGCCCGGGACTCGGGAACTTCGGAAAGTTCCCGGGCCGGACCCGGCAGTCGGCGGGCCCTGAGTGCCTGGGGCTCCGCCCGGTGAACTGTTGGAGATGAGTCCGCCTCATTGATGGCCCCTCGAAAAATGGGCGAGAGAGTGCGGAGTGAGGGGAGAAGGCATGACAGGATGAAGATGCGTAGACAGGACAGGACAGGAGGACAGGACAGGACAGAGGAGAGGAGAGGAGAGGAGAGGAGAGGAGAGGAGAGGAGAGGAGAGGAGAGGAGAGGAGAGGAGAGGAGAGGAGAGGAGAGGAGGGGAGAGGGGAAGAGGGGAGAGGAGAGGAGAGGAGAGGAGAGGAGAGGAGAGGAGAGGAGAGAAGAGCAGAGAGGGGAGGAAAGGAGAGGAACAAAGTGATGAACGAAGAGAGGGAAAGAAGATAGGAGAGCATGCTGTGAAAGTGAGGTGCAGTGAAAGAGGGAAATGAACATTGGGTAGAAAACAAACCAACGTTTATCTCTAACTATTTCTTGATCCAGCTCTGGTCTGTCAGTCGAAGCTTCGGGGATGTTATCTACGATCTGAGAGTAATGTCACAAAGAAATAGAAACGATTCATTTCGGCCTCAAGCCGATAGTTCATGGTTCGCGCCAGTTCTCGATTGGGGAAACTCCCTCATGAGCTTCGGGGACAAGAAATCACAAGTTGTGAGGCGCACCGTTATCCTGTCCCTTGCCCTTGCCCTTGCCCTTGCCCTTGCCCTTGCCCTTGCCCTTGGTCCAGTGCATGTACGTCTCTGTTTCTCACCTGCCTTTCTTCCTCTACCGCAATTTCTTGCGGTGTAGCTGCTTATCTGATGTTCCAGGATGAGAACCAAGGTCTAGGATCCTTCTTCGAGACGCTCAACGCTCGTCAGAGCACTGAGACCGTGAACTTCACGGATTGGAAGGCCACATCACACGAAGACCTTCTTGCAAGCTTCAAGAAAGAGGACAAGGGCAAGTCAGTTACAAGCAAATCACACGACGTTGGGATGATCTTGGAGGCCGACGAGGATGCGAAGTCGCCCATGGTTGTTTCACTGCTGGCAGGAGGACCTGCTGAGAGGTAGAGCAGCACGACTGTCCTGACGTAGCGATGACTTGTGTTGTCGGCAGCTGTGGTCAGATCAAGAGAGGAGACTACCTGACTGTGATCGACGGGATCGTGACCTCAGATCTGCCTCTCAGCTACGTCGAGGAGCTGCTGGCAGGGCCGCAGGTAGGAAGTCGGTGCTTCCCTGAGCTGGCATGGGGTGACTCGATGAGCAGAACACGGAGGTGATGCTGGACCTGACGAGGTTCGAGGACGGAGAGGAAGAGCCTCGGTCATTCTCGGTGACGCTGGTGAGGGAGAGCGCCAAGAGTGGGGGGGAGGCGGCGGGGAGCGAGGGAGGCGTTGGGATTGTCTTCGAGACCAACGTCATCGACGGGAGCTGCACCATCAAGAGGTGTGTGTACAACGGCCCAGCCCATCGATCGGGGGTCCTCAAGAACGGAGACGTGAGCCGATTCTCCTCCCCCCCTGCCCCTCTGACAGCCGGCAGGTCCTGTACAACATCGACGATGTCTGTGTTCATAGGAGGGGATTGCACGTCATCGCAAAGCTCCTGTTCGGCCCCGTGGTGCGCTTCCTCCACCCTCCACCCTCCACCGCCTTGTCCTCTGGAATCCCGCCCCCCTCCCCCGGGCCGCCGCCCCGCCGCCCTGTTGCGACTTTCTTTACCCTGCGACCATGCTTCGTTCTTCTTGTCACTTCCTCCTCACGCTCCACAGGGGTCTCACGTCAACCTCTGTTTCCTGCGAGGCAAGAGGAAGTACATCTGCGTCAACCTCATGCGCGAAAGGATCAGCCATCACGTAAGTTACTTTCCGTCTGACTGTCTACCTACCTATTCCTTGCCCTCCCTCCCTCCCTATCCCTGTTCCTTTCCCGCCCTTCCTTCCTATCTATCACTTTCCTTTCCCTCCCTCGCTCCCTCCCCACCTGCCCCATTCCTTTCCGACTCCTTTCCTCCCTTCCTGTCCCCTCCCTCCCTCCCTCTGTTCCCTCCTTATTTGCTCCCTTCTCGCCTCCCTTTCTCTCCCTGCTCCCTGGCTTTTCCTCCTCCCTCAATCTGTACATTCTGACACCCTGCAGACGGACGTTGTGGGGCTGCTGCGCCACTCGCAACATTCGACGAGCAGCGTGAAGATCTCTTAAAAGCGCAGGAGGGAGGAGGCAGGTGGTGAAGAACTTGGGTCAAGCAGCTACTAGTAGCCTGAGTAGTGGAGGAGGAGGAGGAGGAGGAGAATTAAACAGATTTACAGCTCAGCCGTTCCGTCGCAATTTGACTCGGTCAATTTTCCCGCCTCTCCTCAATTCAACCTGGAGTCGCATGAGCTCAACTTGCGGACCTCCTCTCCTCCTCCTCTCCTCCTCCTCTCCTCCTCCTCTTCACCCTTCATCACCCTTCCCCAACTTCCCTCCCCCTTTCTCCTCTCCTCTGTAGTCTTGCCTACACTGCCGCTTCTACCGCCTCCTCCTCTTCTCTCCTCTCACCTCAGCCTCCGATCGTGACGGACCCCGCAGCATCCCCTGCATCCCCTGCTATGGGTGAGCCAGCGAACAAGCAAGGAGAGGAGACCTTGGGGTCTCTGCCGCCACAGGAAGAGCCGTCGATGGAGATGATGACGTCACCAGGAGCTGTCCAGCTGCATCAGAGCAGCCGCTTACACCCTCCTGCTCTCACCAACTTTCTCCTGATTTTCTCGCGGCATGTTGGGCTTCAAGCTACTCACCTGCCACTCCTCCGAGCCTCTCGCCTGCAGCTCCAAATGCTCAGAATCTTGATGACTCCTTCCCTCCCTCCCCTGCTCTGCTCAGCAGCTGGCACCCTCCTGCTCTTGTCGCCATCCCTCGCTTCATCTGCTCGTTTTCCTCCTCCTCTCTCTCTGTGGTCGCACCTGCTTGACAGTGAAGCCGAAGCAAGAGTGGGCAGTGCGGTTGGGGGAGGAGTTGCCTGAGGCAGGCTCAGCGCAAGAACGGCTGCTGCTTGAGGTCACCGTCATCAGAAGAGCTGCGGGTGAAGGTGGTGAGACAAGAGCAGACAAGGCAAGAAGAACGATGAGAGGACGTTGAGGAAGAGTGAGGAGACAAGAAAGCGTTCGAGTACAGGGAGGAGGAGGGAGGGGGGAGGACGCAGGTGGGGGAGCAGCAAGAGGGAGGCAGGCAGAGCGCGAGGGAAGGAGGCGAGGAGGCAGAGATATCATGGGAGGAAGAGGATATTACATGGACTTGTTGGAGTTTCTCTTTCTCTCCTCCTTGGTCTGTCCCTCGCAAGTCAATCTCTCCCCCCCCTCGTCGACGATCTCACCCGCCGCTCAGCCTCCACCGCCATGAGCTTTTCCCCCCTCAGTATCGTGAGCTTGCAGCAGCTCCCTTCTTCCCCTGTTCCACTTGTCAACACCTGTTCCTCATCCTCCTCTTCCTTCAACCCTTCTCTTTCCGCTCTACTTGATCGCCTCCTCCTCCTTCTCCTCCTTCCTTGTCAACCACGCGCTCCCTCCCTTCCTCTTCCTCTCAACCGAGTAGGATATCCGCAAGCTTCTGTGACGACATCCCCTTCGTCTCCTCGTTCTGAAGAAACTGATAAGCGGAGGAGGACGAGGAGGAGGACGAGGAGGAGGAGGAGGAGGAGGAGAACGAGGAGAAGAAGGAGGGTAACGATGAAGATAACAGGAGGAGGAGCTTGACCTCCACGCGAACTATGACATCTCCTCGATGGACAAAACCTGCTGCTGGCGTTGGTCATCCTCCCTTCTCTTCGCCTCTCATCCACTCACCTCCTCCCTCCTTCTCCTCATCCTCAGCAACTTCAGTGACCAGGAAGAGACCGTCCTTGAGCCTCCGGAACTTGAAGCCGAGGCCGGCGCTGCAAGAGGTGAGGGACTTGCAGTCGGAATGATGACGTCACCGTCTGCCTCCCTTGTGAGATCGCAGAACCTTGAGGAGAAGCCGCTGGAAGTCCTGGGAGGAGAGATGAGAAAAGTGACGGGGGAAAGCTCAGAAGGAGGAAGGAGGATGGAGGACGGAGGACGGAGGTAGGGAGAGCGAGGACGAGGTAGGGTGGACAAGGTAGAGAGGACAAGGTAGGGAGTACGATGTAGGGAGAACGAGGTAGGGAGAAGGAAGAACAGAGAAGGGAGGAGGAGGTAGGGAGGTAGGGAGAAGGAGATGGGAGAAGAAGGGAGGAGGGAGGAGGAACAGAAAGAAGAGGATCAGGAGGAGGAGATTCTACTTTGAGCTCTTCCAGCGCGAGCATCATGGAGGAAGCAACGGTCTTGGTCTCGTTGCTGTTCATCATGGTGATATCAGGACTTGAGGCCCAACCTTCCCTCCGCTCTCACTCTCGCTGCAGCCCTGCGACGGATCGCCGGAGGGTCTGAAGTTGCTGTAAACTCCGATCACGAAAAGTGAGAAACTAGCTCAGCCCTGACCGTTAGCATCGTCGAGAGTTGCTCTCGGTCCAGGTTGCGTCCACTGTGCAGACACGTCAGGGGAGGAGGAGGAGCGGAGGAGCGGGAGAAGCAGGAGGAGGAAGGGGAGGACGAGGGTCAGGAAGAGACCTGACGGCTTCGTTTACACTTTTCAAGCAGGACGCGAACTTGGAGTGCGTGATCTCTGTCAAGATGCTCGAGGACTTCTGCATGAAGGAATGAAGGGTCCTCCTCCTCCTCCTCCTCCTCCTCCTCCTCCTCCTCCTGCTTCTCCCCTCCCGCCCCTCCCCCCTGTCATTGTCTCGTCTTCCAACGCAGATACATGAACCGTGTCCTCAACTTTCCTCTCATCTCGCAGCTCTGTGCGCCCCTCCCCCTACCCCCTCGCCTCCTTTCTGCTCTTACCATGCGTTCCAAGCGTGAAAGGCTCTCCTGCAGCCTATGCAAGGGTCCTGCTGCTTTCTCCATCGCCTCCTGCTCAATCGCGTCATAACCCCTCCCGCCCCCCCTCTTCCCCCCTCTTCCTCCTTCTCCTTCTCCTTCTCCTTCTCCTTCTCCTTCTCCTTCTCCTGGTACCTGCACTTCTGACACCATAGGCCTGCTCTTTGCCCCTTCCTCCTCCTGCTCCTCTTCATCCTCATCCTCCTCACTGCTTGACTCCAGCTCGGGCTCATGGGCGCGGAGCTCGTTGCTGTCAGAGTCTCAGCTCACCCGACTCCTCCTCCTCGTGACTCCACCTGCATTCAAACACCCGCGAACCCTCCATGCGAATTCCACCGTATTCGCTCATGTCGAAACTCCTGCAAGATAGTTACAAGCATGCCCGTTGTTCCAGCAGTTGCAGCTCTTCTGCTCCAGCTCCAGCTCCTGCTCCTGCTCCTGCTCCTGCTCCTGCTCCTGCTCCTGCTCCTGTTTCAACCCTATCCCCCGTTCTGCCTCCACCTCTCCTTCTGGACCCGCTTCCTCCTCCTTCCCTTGTTCATCTCCTCCTCCCTCCTGCTAGCGCTTTCTCCACAATAACTGCCTTCCAATCCTCACCGATCGCTTGCGTAGGAGATCCCTGAGGTTCTTGACTTCTGCCTCAGCTGATCCTCCGAGAAATTCTCCTGCTCAGGGTCGAAACTCGTCTCGGATAGCCCTGCCAAACTTGTCACAACCTCTGAACTCCTTCATGGCATCTCCTGCACTCGCCCCTCCCCCTCCCCCTCCCCCTCCTCCTTCACGTCCTCTCATCACATCCTCTATTCTTCTCTTCTTTGCAACATCCGCTAACTTCCTTTGCTATTCTCGGACTTGCCCTCGCACCTTCCTCTACACTCGAGCCGCTTCCTACCTTCATTCCAATGCGACTCCTCCGGGTCAAAACTCTTGGAGTTCTGCACGGGCTGAGAGTAAAACGGTGAGATCGGCATCAAAGGAAATGAGAGATTATGGGGACAAACAGACAACCAAAGCGCTAGACACGTAAGAGGGAACAGAGAGGATCGGCAGACCTCTTTCCTGCCATTTCTCTCATCTGATTCCTCCGGATCATAGCTCGACTGACAAGATCACAAGCATGTGAGACTCATTCCAGAGATGTCATCGGAGTCCGACAGACTTCACCTCCGCAAGGGAAGATGTAAACGATCTGCCATCCAAACTGGTCATGCATGGACCAACAGAAAACAACAGGGATGGGGAGACAGGACAAGAAGAGTGCGCTTGTCGTTTCAACTCACTTGTTGGGAAAGCTCAACAAGTCTGGATCGAAGGACATCTGAAGGGTGAAGACTCAACCAGCACCAGCACCACGTCGAGCTGAAATGGATGGTCGTCGATCAAGATGTGAAGTTGACTCACCTCACTGTTCTCAGGGAAGACGTCAAAGTTGTCAGGATCGAAGGATTTCTGGAAACGAAACACCTCAGCCCCATCTCCTTTCATGGCCATCGACAGGCACAGCCGTCAGTGTCTTCACTCACCTCCCTCTTTGTGTTCTGCACAGGGAGGACAGAGCAAGACTGCCGAGCACGTCAACTCACATCGTGGCATGCAGCAAGGGCCTCTTACCTGACTCGCTTCCATGGCGCTCTCCGGATCAAAGCTCTTGCGCGCAAAAGTCAGCGAGGAGGTTGCAATGGCAGCGACCCGGGACCTTCTCTGATGCAAGTAGCGCACCCAGCACTTCAGGGTCGAAGGATTTCTCGCTGGGACTCAATGCTCAGATGCTGTTCGAGTGAGCATGCCCCCTTCACGCGCTCTCATTCCTGCCTTGCTGCTCTCCTTCCGTCCTCCAATCGCCCCCTTGTCTTACCTCGTTATCGACATCTGGCGGAATGCTTCACTCTCAGGATCGAACGATTTTTCACTCATGAAGCCTGAAAAACAAACCGTCACTTCACTTTCTCCTTACAACCGCAAGTAAGCTCCCCCCAGCTCCCATCCCCCATCTCAAGGACGACTTCCTTCACGTCCCTCACCCATCCTGTCCGGATCGAAAGATGCTTGCGAGTAGAGCGACTCCCTGTCTATGTCTGGATCGTAGCTCCTCTCCCCGCTCAACTTGGTGACCAGCATCTCCGGATCGAAAGATTTCTCTGCTGCGAGAATAAGAGCAGGCGATCAGACGTGCAGCAGGCCTGAGAGGTAGCTCAGCTGCTTCAGGTATCGATCCGGGTCGAACGATCTCTCGCTGCATTATCGTCAAATACAAGTCTCCTCCTCGGACCCTCTCCTCTCTCCCCGGCTCACCCCCCGCCCCCCTCACCTTTCTCTCCCTCCCTCCCTCCATCTCTGCCGCTCCTCATCCCTCACCTTTCCACGGCTGCTGCGAACTTTGAGCTTTCGGGATCGAAGCTGACCTCACTGTACACGGAAAACTGCGAGCAAACGCTCAAGAGAGTTAAGAGTCAAGCTCTAGTGAACTCACCTGCTTTGAGATGGAAGTTGGGTCGTAACTTCGCTCCCTGCCAAACCTTTCATTGTGATTCTCCCCAGGGAAATCTTTCACACCCTCCCAAGCTCGCATGCTCGTTCTCGTCGATGGATACGAAAGACATCTGGGGTCGGAGGGACGTCACAGGAGGAGAGAAGGCGGCTGCTTCTCAGTCACACGCCATCACCTGGCTCATCGCAAACGATCGCTCCGTCATCCTGCTCGGTTTCCCGGGGGATTAACATAAGAGGAAGAACATGTGCAAGGAGCACCTGCTGCTCTGCTGCTCGACTCTCCTCTTGCCGAGTTCTTGCTGGCTCTGAAAATCTCGCTGTTGTTGCGCCTACAGAACTTCTTCAGCTACTCACTTCGCTTCTGTCGGCTCACTTGGAGGGGAGTCAACTTGACCGCCTGTCGCATCAGCCATATCTGTGTGAGCGTCAAACCGAGCAAGCGGCAACTCCTGCCGCCATATGAGAGCTTGCCTCCATCTGTTGAGCTCCCCTGAAGATGGACAGCCGGACGAACGATCCTGGACTTTCAGCTCAGACAGGCAGGCAACAGCATCTACAGGCTTCTACCAGGAGTTCCGAGCATCCTCGAAGTGATATCGACGATACTCTGTCAAGATCGTAAGATGCGCCTGTGCTCGTATGCAGGCTTCCTATCTAACCATGCTCCTCGTTGGAAGGCCATCGATAGCTGCCAAGACATCTCCTGGCTTGATCAACCCTGAGCGATGAGCCGATCGCCCTGAAGTCTCAGCGTCATCGAGGAGGTTTCATTTGAGTCGCTCAGCACCTTCATGTAGCATCTGCACCACATAAGGCTGAGCCGATGTGATCTGTAGCCCAACACCGCAAGGCTTGGCCATGCTTGCGGCTGCAGGAGACTTTAGATCTCGCAAACGTCTACTCTCAATTCGACAGTCATGGAGAAAGTCCATCAACTGTTTTCATTGACTTGTTTGATGTTCATTGTCCTTCGCTATCTACTACAATATTTCGTCTCCCTTTGATTGAATACATACTTGTGCATTCGTCAATTTGTTCCTCTCTCTTCGCTCCCCTCCCTTCCTCTCCCCCCCTCCCTCCCTGACTGCTTGCTATGTTTCTGCTTGCCTGCCTTGCAGAGTCTGATCCCCTCTTGCCTTCCTCCTCCTTCTCTCCTCCTTTCCCTCCTCCTCCTCCTTCTTTCCTTCATTTTTCCCCTGTCTCTGTCCCTGTTGTCGTCACAGGATGTTCTCCAACAAAGAATAAATTTACGGCGGGGTATGAAGATTAACACCAAAGAACATTATTTCAATATTAAGACAGTATTACGCTATATAATATCAAATATATACTCAATGCTTCAAATGGTCATGAAATTGAAAACCACTCGAGGACATTGAAAGTCTTTGCGGCAAACATGAACCCCTACCCCCAGATACCCCACGAAATGGGAGGGTAGGAGGTCCAACGACCCATTTGGCAAACGGTGATCCTGTAGGGGTACATTCATCCATTATTCCTCTGAATTTGTAGGGTGGGGTGAAAAATTCAGGGGGTGGGTCTGCAGGATATGGTAGGGTCCTTTCTCTACGAAAAGGCAAGAGGATAAGGGGGTACTGGTGAAGGGATGCCACGGGTGGGGTACCCTGGGTGTACAGGGGGTGGTCATCCTGGAATTTCCACCCCTTCCGATAGGAATTCTCACTACCCCACCCTGTATTTCATGGGAATTGGAGGGCAAGTGATGCTGAGCCAGGAGGGGGTAGGGGGGTGGGGCCTGTTTTCACAACCTGATTGACAAGCGAAAATGATTCAGAGGAAGACGAGAAGAGGTGGAGATGAAGAGGAAAGAAGATAGTGGAAGACACGAAGAGGTGAGGTAGCAGCTAGAGAAGGAACTGCTGCTTGATCAGAGCAGGAGAAGAAACTGCTGCCTGATCGAATCGTTCTGGAATATTTTGTGATTGCCGTAAATAAGGGAGATCTGTAAAGTTTGATCCACCATGGCTTCAACCCAGTTACAGTCGAACTTTGAGACCATAGAACAGGCTCTGAACGATACTGTCCTTGAGATGAAATGCCTCAAAGGACACCTGCTTACTCCCTTCACGCTCGCTTATTCCCAGTCCTTTCGTTGCGACAAGTGCTCTACCGTCATTCGCTCAGCAGCCATTGCGTTCATCATCAAGTCAATCAAGGAGAGCAATGATTCCTTCGCAATAATGACTGAGAACGAGATCGTGAACACTGAAACTTTCAAAAAAATGCGGGAACGAGCGCATGAGATATCCAAGATGCACAGGTCCGATGACGACAAGCACAAAACTTGGCGATGCAACACATGCGACTTCGACGTTTGCTACGACTGTGCGCTCATGGCGGTGAAGGAGGCAGAAGCAGAAGAGCTGGCACACCAGCATGAACTGGCGGAGATCGGCGACCAAAAGGTCATGATCGATTGCACTTCCGACCCCGAGGTGTCGCGGGTGATGCCAGAGGAGGTGGAGCCATACTTCTCGGACGTCAAGATCCTTCCTGATGGTGCGTTTGTGTTGCTGGAGAACGGAAAGGCGGGCAGGATCCCACTGGCCAAGTGCCTGCAGCTCTTGAGCTTGTCTCAGACGGCGAGCAAGGAGAGGCTCGTGGGCTCAAGGCGCTACCCGGCGAAGCTTGGCATGCGGGTGAAGCTGTCAGGTCAGTGCCATGACAGCTTTCTCAACATGGCGAGCGGAGGAGGAGTAGGAGAGATTGTTGACAAGGACAAGGGAGGGCTGTTCTGTCACGTGAAGTGGGAGAGGACTGGAATGACGACCTCTGCCATGACTGGTTTCCATGAGGAGGAGGGCTCCTGGGGGATCCGCCTGAATCGCATCTCACCGCAGCTCGCTCAAGTCTCGCACATTGACGACGGAGCGCTGGGAGGGGACGGCGAGAGGCTGTACAACTACCTGCACCACGGGGATCACGTTGTCGCGATCAACCACGTGCCGATCTCGAGGGTCAGCAACGTCAACCAGTACGAGTTCGGGCCTGTGGCCTCCAAGGTGAGGAACGGGGGTTTGTGCTGCTGGTGGGGAGGATGGAGGGACTGACGGAGAGAGGGCAGGTGACGCTGACACTCGTGGATGACTCGGAAAAGTGGGACGTGGAGGTGCTGCGAACGAAGGTGGAGGAGGAGCATGACGCTTCAAACATTCACCCTCGGGGGATCTACCACCTTGAGTTCGTCGGTGAGGACCTTGCCTTCGATGCGATGGTGGAGACCTCGTACGCTCAGTTCAAGAAGGAGGGGATCTGCTTGCACCAGTGCCCAGTCATCGAGGAACCTGCTAAGTCCATCGCCTTCCTCGGAGTGGGAAAGGCTCGCTACCTCGTCATCGAGCTCTATGACTCGGGGTTCAAGAAAGGGATGGCCAAGGGAAGGCAGGCCGACGGCAGGAAGGAAGAGGCCGACAGCCAAGAGTTCGCTTACGATCTGCAAGATCTCCTCGATTACCTGAACCTGGGCAAGCAGGCAGATGTCGTTGATCCAAGTGGACGCGACCAGGACGACGTGTTTGAGCAGATGTCGGACTGGATGCAGAATCTCTTCAACACGTTTGGAGTCCCTTCGGAGAAGGGAGGATACGCAGGGAGCGTGAAGGAGTCGGAGGCGTCGGGGGTGACGAAGAAGACGAAAGGGACGGAGAAGGAGCTCAACAAGTTGTTCAACGAGTGTAACGTGTCGTACAACACTCGCAAGAAGATTGCCGAGAAGAGCGGGCCGCAGCAGCGCAAGATCTTGGAGAGCATCTACACGTCGAGAAGCGTGAGATGATGGTGAGAGCAACCTTGATGTCGCTGACGTTGGCGTGCAGTACAAGTACCACGCCCTCGCCCTCAACCAGATTGACATGAAGCCCAACGAGCGGCTGGAGTTTCGGAACCATCCCCCCCTCCTCCGCGCGATCTTCTGCAACGACTTGGAGGTGCTGAAGAGGCTGCTGGATTCTGGAGCGGACGTATACAAGAGGAGTCAGTTCCAGTTCCAGCTGAGCGGGTTTCAGCTGGCCGTGTACCTGGGCTGTCTGGACGCGATCAAGCTGATGAGCGAGAAGGCGCCCATCGACGTTGACTTCTGCTTCAACCCGGAGGCCAGGAAGGCCTCTAAGGAACTGACGCGCGTGCTCGGGAGGATGACGGAGGTCCAACATGACATGGACACACTGAGGACCAGATATGAGGCTCTGAGCGCAAAGAGGGAGGGCGGGGGGCGGCAGGCGCTGCTGGACGAGATGGAAAGGATCAGGGGCAAGCTCTCCCTGGCCAACCACAACCTGAAGCTGATCGAGGAGAAGGCGAGGGAAAGCCTCGAGCTCAAGCTGGAAATGGACGCGAGCGTCGTGGACCTGAACGCGCGGTGCCCTTTGATCCTGGCCTGCGCCAGCAAGAACCTCTACATGATCGTTTTCCTCACCCTCCTCAACGCGCAGACGGAGGTCGGCATCCCCAGCGTCCCAGGGAGAGCAGGGAGCCCGATGAAGCTGACGGCATGGTGCGACCTTCACTTCCCCATAGGCTCCTACCTCCTGCGGCAGCAGTTTGACCTCCTCGAGTCTCGCGGGTTCACGCAAACGCTGCTGCAAGAGCCTCTCTTCACCGTCTTCTACCACTGGGTGTCTGCCCCCCCCTGGGAGAGCTCGTGGAACCAGGAGGAGGACTCCCTCCTCCTCAAGCTCGCAGCTGAGCTGGAGAAGGACTGGGCCCTGATCGTGCGCGAGTTTCCCGGGAGGAACGCGAGGCAGCTGAAGAGGAGGCATCGCCTGCTGATGCAGGACACGAAACAGGAGGAGGACATATTCCATCTGGGCATGTCATTCTCGCAGCTGCAGGAGGGGATGCGGCACATTGGCCTGTACCCGCACGTGCTGAAGGACTCGCGGCTGGAAAGATTGTTCATCCTCTCCAAGCATCCCAACAAGAAGAAGCTGTTTGCTGGGGACAGCGAGGCTGCGCTTGACTACGTGAGCATCGAGAGGAGGAGGCTTGAGGAGATGAGCATCGGATACGAGCACTTCGACTGGATCCTCAAGGTGGTCTGCAAGAAGTACCTGCGGGGCATGAAGAGGAGCGACTTCGTTCACCGCTACTTCATCAGCATCCTCACGGCCCCGGCGCAGGAGGAGGGAGAGACGCAGATTGAGCAGCTACTCAACCACCTCGCTTTCTCCTTCGGAGTCCACATGCCCATCCTCAAGATCCGCTGGAACCTGCACAAGCCTCTCATGCGCTACCAGCGAGCCGACGTCATGCAGACGGCGGCGGCGATGGAGGAGATCGAGTCTGACTTGGACGAGGACGAGGACGAGGACGAGGAGGTGGAGGGGCTGGTGGTGCCGCAGGGCTCGTCGAGGGCGAGGAGCGTGGTGTCAGCGTCAGTCACGCTCGACCCTCGCAAGCCCAGCGACTTTGCCAGGATGATCGACAACCCCGTCAACTTCCAGGCGAGGTACAACATGTCCAAGGCCGCCTCCCAGCTGCAGTCCAGCGAGAACAGGAGCGCGAGCTCCAAGACCTCGGCGACGAGGAAGGGGAAAGTGATAAGGAAGATGCAGGAGGAGGAGACGGTGAAGGCGAGGTACCAACGAGCCATTGCTAAGACTTGTGGGCACAACCGGCAGGTGCAGGACCTTTCCTCGCAGATGGTCGAGAATACGCTGTCCTCCGTCCTGATGCGCAGCACGCTGACGATGGAGGAGGAGGCGGAGACGTCGGGGGCAGACCTGCTGCGGGATAAGAGCAGGATGGATCAGAGCATGGAGGAGATGAAGTACTGGACTAGAGTGAAGAAGCTCGAGCAGCATGAGATGAGAGCTGTCGATGACCCTCAACCAGGTCCATCCTCCCTCTTCCTCCCTCTTCCTCCCTCTTCCTCCCTCTTCCTCCCTCTTCCTCCCTCTTCCTCCCTCCCCCCCCCTCACAACCTTCCTTCCTCTCTGCTTTGCATCTGCTTCTATCAGCCTTCTTCTCCTAACGTTGCCTCTCGTTTCCACAGGCCGCAAGAGCCTCAAGATGAAGACCGACGGCTTCATCGACAGCACAGCTCACTTCCCGACCCTCAACATCTTCAGCGACTACTCAGTGCTGACAGGAACGCAGAAGAAGAAGGGACAGTGAGGAGAAGGAGCGACCTTGACGAGAGGAGGAGGTGGAGGAGGAGGAGGAGGAGGAGGAGGAGGAGGAGTATTGATCTTGTACTATGCTACACGTTCATTGCCGGCATGAGAGGCCTCATACTTGACCGAGAAGAATCTTCGGATCCACTGCTTCTCCTGCTCTCCTCCTCGCACTTGGCAGAGAGCCGCTGGAAGCGCGAGCTGACCCTCCTGATCTCGTTGACCACATCGTCGACTGAGTAGGAGGAGGCCGGGAAGATGGAGGGGTCTGATTCTCTCCTCCTCACCCTCATCTTCTCCTTCTTCTCCTCCTTCTTCTCCTCCCTCGACTTCTCCTGCTCTACGGGCAAACCCAACCACAGCGACAACCCGACGCTCTGGTCGCTCACCATCTTCACGTTTGCCTTGCGGAATCTGAAAAGAAAATCACGTTAAACACCTTCCTTCGCTCCTCTTTCCGACTCTTCTATCCCAATCCCCTTCTCCTCCTGCCCCTCCCCGCCTCCTACCCTTCTTCTTTTTCTCCTACCCCTCCCCTTCCGCTCCTACCCTCTTCTTGTCCTCCTACCCCCCCCCTTCTTCTCCTACCCTCTTCTTGTCCTCCTACCCCTCCTCTTCTCTTCTTCTTGTCCTCCTACCATTCCCCTTCCGCTCCTACCCCTCCCCTTCTCCTCGCCCTCTCTCCTCTCTACCTGTACAACTCGTTCCCCGCCTGCAAGGCAGCTGTCAGTCCTGGACATCTCTGCCCCGCATATCCCCGCTTCCCCTCCCCTCCCCTCCCCTCCCCTCCCCTCCCCTCCCTCCTCGCACCTTGTAGAACTCCCCTATCATCTCAAGTGTCTGCATCGACTCGCCGAGCCCCTCGTTCTCTCCTCTCATCGTTGCCCTCCACCACTGCTGTATGATCCTCGCAGCGCACGCAAACACTTTCATCTTGCACTTGTTGTGCTCGATCGACACCATCAGCCGCATCTCCTCCCCCGTCAAGTTCAACCGCCGAGTCACGTTCGCCGTTACCAGCGCCATGATCAGCGGCATGCCGAAGATGCTCACGACCGTCGCAAACCTCCCAGCGTGAGTCTGCGGAAACATCTTCCCCTCTCCTAAACGGCCAAGTGTCAGCCCTCTGCTCCACTCCCGCTCTTTCCTCCCGTGCCCCTCTCGCTCCTGCGTTCCTCTTCTTCTCCTTCTTGCACACTCCCTTGCCCTTGCCCTTGCCCTTGCCCCCCCCAA